TCAGAAACTTTTAGGGAGTCAGAATTGTTGGGGGCATCCACCAACTGTCCTCATCATCCAGGTTTGGTCCTGACTTTGGTGTAAAAAAGGTGGTTTAGTTGAATTATTTTTTTTAAGATTTTCATTTATTTATTTGAGAGAGAGAGGAAGAGCCAGTGAGAGCAGGGGAGGGTAGACTCCCCAACTGAGCCCAGGGAGCCAAAATGGGGCTCCATCCCAGGACCCCAGGATTATGACCTGAGCCGAGGGCAGACGCCCCAGTGGAGCCCCCCAGCTGCCACTGGTTGAATATCTTGGGTGGTTACTACTTTTACCATGAAATCCTGTGCTTGACCTATAGCTTTTTCTGATGAATTTCGGCATGAGGTGAGGGCTTCTTAGCAAAGAGACTCTGGCTCTCACACTTAGTTTTAAATTGTCTGTTAATTGACCTCAGCTTTTCCTTATCCACCTGGAGGACATCAATTCAAGTTAGTAATAACCATTCGAGTCCATTACCCTTGTACTCATTACCCACCCCCACCCCATATCTGAGATACCTGAATCATCCACGGCCATTGTCTGCTTCTCCAGGAGTAAGTCACCTAAAGTTTTAATAACTAGACAGCCCTCTTATGCCCGGAGTCGTCTATGCACTGCCTGCCCACCAGGGATGTGAGCCTCAAAACCAACCACTCAGGGGGTAACCCAGTGTCAGAATGCTCTTAGTGCCCGTAATCAAGGGCCACTCTGACCCCAGTTATGCCGGTTTGACCCTGGGATGGAGTTAGGAGCACAAAAAATGTATGACAAAGTTACAGGCTCTGAAAGGAGAAAGGAGAGGCACGATTGTGGGGGTGGAGGGAGCTGTCAGGCTTCTTGACAGATCTAATGACGTCTCCTAGCCCCCCACAGAGCTCCAGAACAAAGACTGTTTACTCTAGGTTCTTGCTCCATCACTTTGCTCAGTCTTTGGCTGGATGATGCCAGAAAACAGCAGACTATCAGTTCCCACTGCCTTGCTCAGGCACAGACTCTCTATGCCCGGAGAATAGTGTGTCCTTATCTTGAATCTGCAGCCAACCCTGAAGAGAGTGTCAGCTAGAGACATCAGCTGACCACAGCCCTCAAAGCCAGGCAGCTGGTCCTTTCTCGAATGTGGATCTGAGGAGTACAGCTCCATGTAATTGGAGAAGCCCCAAGTCCCTGAAAAGAAATGACCGGTCTTTGGCCACGGTTACACTAAGTACCAGAGATGACCAAGGACAACTTCATGTCAGTAATCTCAGCTCTAAACCAGCCTCCTACACTGGCCTGGGCAGTGGCAGCCTCACTCTGGGAACCGCACCTCCACCACAAAAGCTTGATTCCTAGGGTATTCCTAAAGGCTGCTAACCCTTGACCCCTGCACTTCCCACAACCCTGTACCAGATCAGCAGTTTCCTTTGTCCAGAGAGCTAGAGAGACTGCAAGCACAGCTCTCTCTTCTCTCTCTTGCTCAGCAATCACTACGCATAGCTTTTTGTTCTGAATACTGAACGTGGCCTCTTCCTTTGACCCAGTCATCTCTGCCCAAGGTGTCCCCAATCTTGGGGACTGACTGGCCCCTTCTCACCATCCCAGTCTCAAATCTCTCTTCCTCAGAGAGGACTGGGCTGTCCCCACCGTGTGATGTCTGCTGTCCCTGGCCATGCCACCCACCATCCCAGAGCCTCATTTCATTTATACCCTCTCCCTCTCCAGAAAATAAACCCCATGAGGACACTCACTGCTGTATTCTCAGGAAGGAGGACTGAATGGAAGAGTGAGAGGCATTGTGGGATTGGATAATTATGAAGTCGCCGATGAGTGAGTGTTTCTGTCACCGCCATGTCCCAGCCCCCGTGCATAGTGCAGTGCCTGGAACGTGGTAGACATGCCACTATGACTTCTTCAAGAGTGAAGGAAAGCAAATGACCTTCCAGTGAAATGTTCAGGGAGAAAGGTTAAGTGATAACTAGAAAAGACAGGATAAATGCACTGAATTTAAGTGAATTGTTTTCAGAGTTTGGAAAAGATAATCTCATGAAAAATGGATGGACACATCGACATGTGGAGAACTCTGAGGAAAGCAGTGATGGCTGGGGGACTGCCCAAGGAAGACACTGGATCGCTCTTTCCGGAGAAATCAGATCACCCAAGCAAAGGAGAGATGGGAATTATTGTCCCCTGCAAAAGTCTAGGGGGGAACTAGGATTTAATTTTGGGGGATAAGGACGGTCAGGCAGAATCTGAACCTGTTGGTAGGCAGGGTGGTTAGGACATGTGGTGCAAGACAGCTTAGAGAGGAGAGGAGGGGTGCTCGCTGATGGGGCAAGAGTTACACCAAGAGCAAATGTGGAAGGCTTAGCCTTAGAAAAGAGTCTACACAGAAGTTTGCTATAGATAAGAGAAGAACAATCTCCACAGAAATGTTGACATAAGGGATATGTGGTAGTCATCGCCAGCCATGTTATTAAAATAACTGATTTATTGCTATGAGAAATGTTCTCTGAATTGATTGAGGGCTGAAAAATGTTTTAGTTTATGATTTATGGGAGAGAAGGGGGAAATGGGATATCCTGGACTTGAATGGTACAAAATGCATTTTTTTCTGGAACATGTTTCAGATTTCAACTAGATGTTGGCCATCAGAAATATGCTTCTCTTGTTAAAAATGGAATTTATTGGGGCGCCTGGGTGGCTCAGTGGGTTAAGCCGCTGCCTTCGGCTCAGGTCATGATCTCAGGGTCCTGGGATCGAGCCCCGCATCGGGCTCTCTGCTCAGCAGGGAGCCTGCTTCCTCCTCTCTCTCTACCTGCCTCTCTGCCTGCTTGTGATCTCTGTCAAATAAATAAATAAAATCTTAAAAAAAAAAAAATGGAATTTATTGCATAAGAGGTACCTATTTGCATAGAACTATAAGGTAAATATTAGAAATATTTACGTCACACAAGTAGAGACTAGTACTGTGGACAATCTAGTGGGAGGGCTAGAAGGGGTCCTCCAGTTGGTTTCTTTTAAATGAGCTAAAGAAGAAATTTAATTTCTTTTTGGCAAGCATAAAAAGGCAAATAACCTTGGAAAATAATTGCCTGAGATTTTAAAATTTTATATCCATAAGAATTTCAAAGCCAGAAATCTAGCTTGTTTTGTATCAAAAATGACAACCTAGAAGGAAGCTCTGAGGTCATCATCATATTGATCATTGCTCATGCACGTTGCCTACGCAGGACGAATGGCTCCATATGGTCCCAGCCACTCGTGGCCCAAGAGAGCTGCACTCTGCTGTCTGCCAGTTGGGGCGTAGCAGTTAACACGTGGACCCAGCAGTCAGACCGCCTGGACTCCAATTCGCCTCTGTTCTTACAGCTTCTTCTGGAGCAAGTTACCTAACAGCTCTGTGCCTCACATCTTTGTCTGCAAAAAGGAGCTGCTAGAATGTGGCACAGAGTTGTTCTGAGGGTCGAATGTAGTAATTCAGGTGAAATGCTTAGAATGGTGCACCTAGAAGGTAATCCAGAAATTTTAGTTAGCAATGGGAACTGTTAACTATAGGTATGACTTTATCTAGGTTAGCAATCCAGGTAAGAGAGAATGGGAATTATTGTCCTAGAGAAGGGTCTAGGGGGACCTAGGATTATATTCACTATAGCTGTCCCGGTTAGGGAGGTTAATTTTAAGAGATATCACATCATGTTGGGGTTGACAGGACCTTAACATCTATGATTCCATCCTCTTGCCATTGGATACTTACATCTTCTCCGGAAGTGATCACACGGTCTCTGCTTAAACACACACCGTGACGGGAACTGGAAGCAGCGTCATTCACGGGCAGCTGTGCTGTTGGGAAGTTACTGAGCACCAACCTGCCTTTCTCCTTCACCCCTTCAACCATCATGCCCTGGGAGGCCACGGTAGTCACTGCCTTTCCCACAGCGGGCTTCCTCTCTGTGGAAGAAGACTCCAACCACCCCTGTTTGACCTCAGTCTGTACTTCTAATCGATTCTTGCCAGCGTGTCTGTTAACTCAAAAGACCAGGTGGGCAAAGTATCCCTGATGGGAACTGAAACTACCTGCTCAAGCAGTGAAGACTCTGTGTGATTGAGCCCAAGACAATGATCGACCTGGCCTTTACTGCCCACCCACGTGTACCCACCGACCTTTGTCCCATGTTGTTCTTAGATGAACCTGGAAGTATTTTCAGCATGTTAGGGATCGTCCTTAGATGCCAGACCCCAGTCTTCCCAGTGCTAGCCTCAATGAAATAAATTCCTTTCTTGTTTCACGACCTCTCATCTCTCTGCCTTTGGATTTTGTCAGCGGCCAGTGGTTGAACCTGGTCTGTTTGGGATCCCCAGAGCCAGGTGCTTAGGCATCTTTGGGCTCCGGTTCATCTGACATCTGTAGGACAAGCATGTTCCAATACAATCAGGCACAGATTTCAACCTCCTTGATTCTGTGGCGGCCCATTCGTTCAATAATTATCATCATTTTTATATGACCTCCCAAACTGCATGAAATACTTTAAAAATGCATGTGAATTTTAAAATTACATGTTTGTATACATGCCTTTGGGAAAGAACATGTCTTTATTGAGTTTCAAAATAGGATAGAAGTCCCTAACTTCATAAATTTGGTCTCTGTCATGAAATATTATTGACCCTTCTACGTATGGTTGGAATTTTCTTACGCAGTAGGGGTGGTTGGGGGATGGGGAAGAGTAGCCCACAGAGAATGTGACTGGGTCAGGTGCAAAAGAATCTGATTTTTTTTTTTTTTAAGGCATTACCAGGATAACCGGGCATAATTAAATAGGGTCTTTTTTTTTTAAAGATTTTTTATTTTATGACAGCGAGAGACATAGTGAGAGAGGGAACATAAGCGGGGAGAGTGGGAGAGGGAAGCAGGCTCCCCGCTGAGCAGAGAGCCCAATGCGGGGCTCGATCCCAGGACCCTGGGATCATGACCTGAGCCGAAGGCAGATGCTTAATGCCTGAGCCACCCAGGCACTCCAAGAATCTGATTTTTGCTTTCAATTGAACTTCACCTCATGAGGCTTCACAGCCGTGCCACACAGAATACCTCTTTAACATTTTTATTGATAATATCTGGAGGGGATAACATCCAAAGGACACAAATCCAAGTTGAAAAAGGCAACATGATGTGAAGAAGGGTCAAGTAACAGGACACTTCCTGGGAGCCTCACAGAAGTAAACTCCTCCAGAGCTGTGACTGATTCACATGTTTCTAGAATACTGTCCCCTGTTCCCTGTGTATCTAGATAAAGCTTCAAACATTAAAAGGCACCTTGGAAATAAGCTCAATTCATCGTTGTTCTCTCAAGTAGAGCGACTACTCTACATTTACGGGTATGCAGTGCTGATGTCTACAGTAAGAAATGGAACTTCCTGGGGTTTTTTCCTCATTCGTTTTCTTTGGATGGTTCATTTTTCTGAATCAACCATACTTCGTTATTTCTATCAAGCAACTTGAAAGGACTGTTGTAGCCTGCCGTGTAGTAAACCTTCTCATTGAAAACTTTTCCTTCTTCCCTCAAAGTACTTGCTAATGTCAAAAGTTGTTCTTGATTTTTTTGAGCACTAGAGAATCCATCGAAAGCCCTGCAAAGGAGAAAGTAAATAACCATGAGTGATGTTCATGCCGATGTAAATGTCAGTCTGAAAAGGACGCCATGAAGGCTGGATCAGGGCAGCTTCCAGGCCCCTCCCCCTCAGCAGCTGACTGGGCCATTCCTCTCCTCTGGTTCCCATTCCCAGCGCCGCCTCGCCACACACGGAGGAGACCCAGGAAGAGGCACACATCCCAGCTGCTGGCAGGCAGATTTGGAACTTTCACCATCTCGTGCTCTAACTCTTGCTTCTCAGACTTTCACGAGTGTGTACAGGTCACCTGGGAATCTTGCTCAAATGCAGACGCAGGAGGTCTGGGGTGGATCCCGAGAATCTGCATTCCTAACAAGCTCCCCATGGTGCTGAGGCTGCTGGTCAGAGGAAACCCCCTTAGAAGACTCCCTTTCAGACTTCCAATTTTCTATGGAACCGTTCCCCTCCCCTCTGTCCCCCTTAGGAAAAGGGTAGGTGCCACATTACTGATGACTATGATAGAGTTTCGACCCTATGAATTTATAGTCTAATGGAAGACGGGAACATTTTGGCAACTCTTTACATACAGCCTGAGAAGAGATTTAATGGAGACAGGATCGATATGCTTGGGAACACAGGATATTTCTGAATCAGGGGTAAGGGATGTTGTCTGGGTTCAGTCTGGAATGGTGGATGGCTTTGCTGGGCCAGAAAAGGGGAAGGAGAAGAAACCAAAGTTCAAAAACACAAATTCATAGTGAGGCACAAAATGAGCTCTGAAAGGTGAGTCAGAGCCCGAAAGGGGAATCTCGTATGTTGGCTCAGGGCCCTTTTGAGATTATTGTGAAGGATGCTGAGCACAAAAGTGACTTGATAGATCTGGGAAAGACAGATGGAAAAGAGACTGGAGGGAAGGAGCCAGTTTGGAGGTTGCTATGGGGATGGGGAAGAAAAGACAGTCAAAAGATTTAAATAACAAGTGGGAAAAGAGAATCAAAGTTTAAGTATAGATTTTCAAGTATATAAACAAAACTATCCTGAGGTTAAATTATGACAGCACTCAGACCTAGCTAAGTTGTTGTTATGTATAGATGATGAATTTGACTTTGAAGAATAGGAAACACAGAAAATCGTGGATATTCCAAATATGGCTTCTTTTGCATAAGTTGTATTATCAATGTGCCAGTGGAAAAGCTTAGTCCTACCATTCTCCAGGTAAGATGTAAGGTCTCAAAGGTACAAACCATGTGTACTTCATTCAACGATGTTCATGAGGCACCTAGAATTGTTCCTGGCACACATCAAATAGTGTAGAAATCTAATATGCACATGTACATGAAACAAAATGTTGAATATAAATTGATAAAGCTGTTCTAATTTTCAGAATGTTGACCAATAATGATAATTCTGAACCATATGTTTACCTCCTAAATCTATTATTTCCTTAATGAAGAGCCAACTCTTAGTCTGTTCTGCCTAAAGGAAACTTGCTTTCAGATCCTATTTCTGCCCTGACATCAAATCTCAAATCCCCCTAGTTAGAAATCATCTTTTGTTCTCTGAATACATATTGTTCTACAATGACCCATCACAGCTTTATTCAGTACACAAACATATGAATCTCTTCCCACGCACCTGCCTTGCTAGGAGCTGCAGGGTATGAACAGAGGACCATGTTCCTGTATTGTTGAGAAACTTACAGTCTGTACCTCTATCACTCTAATTTAGAATAACAGAAGAACAGAGTGACTAGCTAACTGGAGAAACTGAGGAAGGCATCGCAGAGGAGGTACCATTTGATCCAAGTCCTAAAGGATGAAAGTGGATGCTCCAGGAAGAGGAGAAATGAAGAGCTAGAACTAGTAGCAAAGTCAAGGTGCATGTTTTAATATTTTACAGAAATCAACTCATTTAATCTTCATGGCAACCCTATGAGATAGGTTGGTACTATAACTATGTATATTTTACAGAAGAAGAGCTTTGGGCAAGGAAAATCTGAGGAACCTGCCTAAGGTCACAGGTAGAGACATGTGGAAGGTCCTAGCCACAGTGATCCAGTAACAGAAAGAAATAAAAACCATCCAAAATGGCAAGGAAGAAGTAAAACTTTCACTATTTGCAGATGACATGATAGTATATATAGAAAGCCTGAAAGACTCTGCCAAAAAACTGTTAGATCTGATAAATGAATTCTGTAAAGTTGCAAGATACAAAATCAATTTACAGAAACCTGTTGCATTTTTATACACCCATAATGAAACAGCAGAGAGAGAAATTAAAGAATCAATCCCATTTATAATGGCACCAAAAGCCATAAGATCCCTAGGAATAAACCTAATCGAAGATGTAAAGGACCTGTACTCTGAAAACTATAAAATATTGATGAATGGGGCACCTGGGTGGCTCTGTTGGTTAAACGTCTGCCTTCGGCTCAGGTCATAATTCCAGAGTCCTGGATAATTCCAAGCCCCGTCTTGCGGGGTGGGGGAGGTCCCTCCTTAGTGTGGAGTCTGCTGCTTCCTCTCTCTCTACCTCTCTTCCCCCAACTCATGCTTTCTCACTCTCCCTTTCTCAAATAAATAACATCTTTTAAAAAATAAAATACTGATGAAGGAAACTGAAGAGGACACAAAGAAATGGAAAGGCATTCCATGCTCATAGATTGGAAGAACAAATATTGTTAAAATGTCTATATTACACAAAGAAATCTACATATTTAATGCAATCCCTATCAAAATACCAACAGCATTTTTTCACAGAGCTTGATCAAACAGTAAAATTTATATGGAACCACAAAAGACCCTGAATAGCGAAAGCCACCTTGAAAAAGAGAACAAAGCTAGAGGCATTTCAATTTCAGACATCAAGTTACATTACAAAGTTGTAGGAATGAAAACAGTATGGAATTGACACAAAAATAGACACATAAATTAATAGAACAGAATAGAAAACCAGAACTGAGCTCACAGTTATATCATCAATCTTTGACATAGGAGGAAAGAATGTTCAATGGGATATTGGATCATCTCTTCAACAAAGGGTACCGGGAAAATGGGACAGCAACCTACAAAAGAATGAAATTGCCACTTTCTTGCACCATACACAAAAAGATTCAAAATGGGTTAAAGACCTAAATGTGAGACTTGAAACCATAAAATTCTAAAAGAGAACACAGGCAGTAATTTTCACATTGCCCATAGCAACCTTTCTAGATATGTCTCCTAAGGCAAGAGAAACAAAAGAAAAGGAAACTATTGGGAATACATAAAAATAAAAAACTACAAAGTGAAGGAAACAATCAACAAAACTAAAAGGCAACCTACAGGATGGGAGAAGATATTTGCAAATGACATATCTGATAAAGGGTTAGTATCCAAAATATATAAAGAACTTAGAAAACTCACCACCTAAAAAAACAAATCCAATTTAAAAATGGGCAGAAGACATGAACAGACATTTCTCCAAAGAAGACAAACAGATATTATGGACACTGGGGAGGGTATGTGCTATGGTGAGTGCTGTGAAGTGTGTAAACCTGGCGATTCACAGACCTGTACTCCTGGGGCTAATAATACATTATATGTTTATAAAAAAATAAATTATTAAAAAAAAGACAAACAGATGGCCAACACACACATGAAAAGATGCTCAATATCACTTATTAGGGAAATGCAAGTCAAAACTACAATGAGATACCACATCACACCTATCAGAATGGCTAAAATCAACACAAGATACAACAGGTGTTGGCAAGGATGTGGAGAAGGGGGAACTCTCTTGCGCTGTTGATGGGAATGCAAACTGGTGCAGACACTCTGAAAACAGTATGGAAGTTCCTCAAAAAGTTAAAAAAGAAAAAAAAAAAAAAACTACCCTATGGTCCAGCAATTGTTTTACTAGTTATTTACCCAAAGAATACAAAAATACTAATTCAAAGGGATACATGCACCCTGATGATTACAGCCTGATTATCAACAACAGCTAAAACAGGGAAACAGCTCAAATGGGTGAATGGATAAAGAAGATGTGCTATATATACACAGTGGAATATTACTCAGCTATAGAAAGAATGAAATGTTGCCATTTGCAATGACATGGATGGAGCTAGAGAGTACTATGCTAAGCAAAATGAGTGAGAGAAAGACAAATGTCATGATTTCATATGTAGAATTTAAGAAACAAAATAAATGAGCAAAAGGGGGAAAAAAGAGAGGCAAAACAAGAAACAGACTCTTAACTATAGAGAACAAACTGGTGGTTACCAGAGGGGTGGTAGGTGGGGGATGGGTGGGACAGGTGATAGGGATGAAGGAGGGCACTTGTCGTGATGAGCTCTGGGTGATGGATGGACGTGTTGAATTCCTTAAACTAATAGGATACTCTATGTTGACTAACTAGAATTTAAATAAAAACTTAAGAAAAAGGAGAGATGTGGAAGAACATGGGCTGCTTGGGGAAGGGTGGGAAGGTCAGCGGAACATAACTAGTGGGGAGACACGTCTGGGCCATGTTATAAAAGACATTGTGAACAATCTGAACTCCCCCCCAGAGCAAGTGGAAAGTCACAGAGATTTCTAGTGAAGTAACAGGTTGAGGTTTTTGTTTTGCTGCTGTTGTAGTAAGAAAGACCATGGATTCCTGTGAGGAGCACGAGGGGAAGAGAAGGGTGGGCAGGTTACTCCCAGAAGCTGGGAGGCTACTGAAGTGGAACAGTCAAGACCTGAGATGAAGAGACATCCGAGCATCTACTGAGGGTCCAGCATTGTGCCGAGCCCTGAGGGATACAGAGATGATTGACGTGTGGTTCCTAGAAGATGGCGACCTGAAGAAGTCACAGGGAAGGGGAGAAGGGAACAGAATTGTGGATCATTTCCAAGGAGACTGGATCGGATCTTGTAACCAGTTGTCAGGGAAGGGTGCGCTGATGATGGCCTTGGAGTCCTGCTGGGGAGGTTATCTGGTAGATAAAGGTCACTGCTCACATACATTGAGGACTGGGGAAAGCTCACTTGTAGAGCTGTTGACTTTAATCCCCACCTACCCCCCAATGGAAATGTCCAGCAATTAGGGTAATCAGGGCTGGATACACCAAATTTTGAGAGTCACTAGACACACGTGGTTGAAGCTTTATAAACAGATCACTCAGCGTAAGTCTGCTTTGACATGGGGGTCAATGCGAGCTGTCAATAGCACTTTCTGGGTAAGACAGAGGAATAGGAGGAGGAGAACGGCAAGACAGTGACTTTCTGAGACATAACAGGATGAATCAGCATCCAGAGAACAGATGAGTCAATACACAAAGACCACAGGGGTCACATGGGCAAGAGCGGTCATCACGTGACAAAGGCAAGGGCACTGCTGACAGTGACAAGGGCATTCCCAAGGAGATAGTACAGGCTCCCCCAGACTGTCCGTGGAAACAGAGACAGATTCCTTTAGCGGGTGAGTGGTGACAAGAGGGAGAAAGGAATCAAGTGACACCAGTACAAGACTCTTAGCATGTTCTGTGCATGTTTTATATTTCAACAGAGAGAATTTAAGAATGTGTCGAACAGGTACTGGAAGCCAGAAACAGTACAAGGAACCACTCAACGAACAGAGGCAATGACTGCTGGAAGCAGCCAGCATCCCTCGGGCTGGGGCACAGTGGAAGAGTCTGGGGCTATCGGAATCTAGAAGCTGGGAGGAGGGGTACTGTGCCCTGTGTGTTAGGATTTTTGTTCAGGGTTACCTCAACGGCAGGTGGAGAATAATGTGCATCGTGTCTTAGCTGTGTAAGGTATGCAACAAGCTCTTCATTACATGAATTGATTGTACCTTGCAGTAGCCCCTTAGTAACACATAAAACTAAGCCAGGAGGGAAACACCATGAAAATGCGTTTGGCCTCTTTTTTACCAGAAGGGTGAAAAGCCGGCTGAAATTGCAGAGGAGCAAAACCGAGAGCAGGCAAGGAAAGCTAGCAGTGGGCAGGGCCATAAATTATCTACCACTTACCGTACAAACACAGTCATTTCAGCTCTGTCTTCAATGAAGACATCTGACTCTGAAGGCCAGGGCGGATCGGATTGCTGCTCAGAGGGGATGTACAGGGAAATGGTAATGATAGACTCGCTAAAAGGACCTGAACCGGGCTCCACATAGCTTGTCACCGGAGCTGTCATCTTTATCTTCATTTCTGGACCATAAAATAACATATTTAATGCCATGAAAAGACCGTGAAAACAGATTTAGTTTCTTTACGACTATTTCTAAAAACATAACCTATTATTTTTTGATTGGAGTTTCCTGACTTACATTATGGTACTGACATAAAATTTACCTTTGAGATAATTTTCATCCTTAAAAAATAAGGGCAAATGATTCAATTATCCCCTGGCCACATTAAACACTTTCTCTACTATTAATATTTTTGGTTAATAAAATCTAGTTTTAGGGATGGAAGGGAAAATTAGAGATCATATAGTACAGTCTTGTCTGTCTTTCTTTCTTTTTCTTTCTTCCTTCCTTCCTTTCTTCCTTCCTTCCTCCCTCCCTCCCTCCCTCTCTTTCTTTCTTTAACAATTCAGAAACGGAGATCCCACAGGCTAGGTGACCCGCTAAAACACAAATAGCGAAAGAGCCGGACCCAGATGTCTTGAGACCCTGAATCTTGGGTTCTTTGTACCTTCCTGCTTCCTGATGACTCTTAACCTACCAGTCACCAAATTACCTGGAAGCACTAGCCATGAAATGGACTTAACAGTAGTTACACAGAGGCCTAGTTCATCCAGCAGAAACAGACAAGAACAGAGGCTGAAAAGCACTAGCCTCCTCTAGACTCTGTTAAAGGTCCTGAGCGGAGTCTCTGCCTTCAAACACTAAGTCTTTGATGATCTCATTATTTTTCTGTTCTAAAGTATCTCTCTTTAATAAGCTAAAACACAGGAATAAGCCAGGGGACTCGACCACAATATATATATAATTATAAGGTAAACTGTCTTCACCTTTCTCATTTTTGCCTTGAATGTAGCCGTTCAGCTTTGTAAAACCAGTCTGGATGGCTGAATCCCAGTCCATGGACTCAACGGAAGTGCTGACCCACTTGGCGGGTCCATAGTGCCGGATCTCGTAACTTCCGGGCTAAAATGGAACAGAGAAAACTGGGGGAAGCAATTCGAAAAAGGCAGGACGTGCGAGGCAACAGTCCAGGTTCCTTGATCTCAGGTCCACCTGGGATGGACCCCGGGTTCTGGTTCCTTCAACCTGGCGGGGCCCCTCTCCCGCGGCTCCCATCCTTGGATGAGAGACTGTGGAGGCCTCCGCCCCCCGCAGAGGTCGGGAGTCGGCTCCGTTGACATTAACACCTAGCATCTGTTAGGTCCTCTGGGCTGGAGAGTCCTCTGCGGGCTCTGGGACCTGATCAATTCCTTTTTCTTTTTTTAACCTCACAAGAAACTGAGATGTGGCCAGTTGAAATGGAGATGTGGCCATGATCCAGGGTTATGGCTAACCGACCGAATTTTCCCCTCTGAGCAGGAACGGAACTGGGGACCCAGACAACTTTTTTAAAAATTGAAGTTTTTACTTAAATCTGCGGGACCCTCCGGTCCCACTGCCAATCCTCCGGCGCGCTCCGGCCCGCACCCGACCGTCCAAGCCCGCGGGAGGCGCCTACCTGGGGGCCCACGTCCTTCGGGGCCGTCCAGCCCGGCGTCTCCACGGCTTGGGCCGCCGCGCGCTCGGCTGTCGCGGGGTCCGGCTCCAGCACCTCGGCCATGGGCGGCGCCGACGCTCGGGGGGAAAGAGGCTGGCGAGCGGAGCCAGGAAGGGGCCGCCCCGCTGCGTGTGCGCGCCGCTCCCGCCTGCTCCGCCGCGAGTCCCCGCCCCGGCGCTGCCCGCAGCCCAGGTCACCCGGCCGACGCGCGTCCCTCCTCCCCGCAGTGCGGGGGACCCGAGTTCGCAGGAGCCCGCCCGCGCTTGGGCCGGGAGGGGGCGCTGCGACCGCAGGTCCGGCGGGGCCGCGCCCCCTCTGCCGGGATCCCCCCCCACCCCCGCCCGCAACACCGCAGCGGTGAGGGCGGGAGACAGGACTGCAGGGTTCGCTTAGGCGGGCGTCCTTTGGGATTCCCTCCCGTCCCCTGCGCGCAGAGGTGTCGGCTGTGGAAGCCGGGGGTGGAGGACTCAGAGACTGGCTTGCGGGGTTTCTAGTGTAACCGGTTTGGGAACCTCTCTGCGGCTCCACCCGCGCAGGAAGCCGGTTCTGCAGATCGGGCGACTCCCGGGGAGCGGCGTGAGCTCGGCCCGCACCCTGCGTGCACTCAGTGGGAGGCGGGAGGGAGCCTGCTCGCCCGGTGGGACGGTGGACAGGCTGCCAACTGGGACCTTGGCTGTATCTTCTGCCCCTACCCCCTCCTCCAGCCGTGGGCCCAGGGCTCCGTGCACAAATCGGATCCCGGGCGCACCCAGAGACATGAGGTCCTACTCACACCTAGAAAGTGTCCAAGGTGCCCAACAGCCATCAAGGTCCGCCGGGGGAGGAGTCAGATGGGGCTACAGTCAGGCCTGGAGACAATCTTAAACTGTCCTGGTTTAATGACCTTTCCCTGAAATGATCCCAGAACCTCTGAGGTGGTCCCACTAGAACTATCAGGCTGGAGGGAGGGAGGTGAAAGGGGGGCAGAGAAATGAGGGGGTACAGCGACAGGACTCTGTGCTTCTAAAACTTTGTGGTTGGATTTATTCTTTATTTTTCCTAAGAGCTTTACTGAGATATAATTCACATACCATCAAATTCACCCATCTAATGTGTACCATTCAGTGTTTCAGTGTATTCACAGTTGTGCAACCATCACTACAATCAACTTTACATTTTCCTTAAAGACTTTTATTTTTTATTCCTCAGAGAGATAGAGAGCACAAGTAGGCAGAGCGGCAGGCAGAGGGAGGGGGAGAAGCAGGCCCTTGGCTGAGCAGGGAGCCTGCTTGGGGGCTCGATCCCAGGACGCTGGGATCATGACCTGAGCGGAAGACCACCGCTTAACCGACTGAGCCATCCAGGTGCCCCACTATAATCAATTTTAGAGCATTGTTATCACCTCTTCCTGGACCCCAAACCCCATACTCCTTAGCCATCGCTCCCCAATTCCCCATTCCCCAGCCATAGGCAACTACTAATCTCCCTTCTGTCTCTATAGGTTTGCTTTTTCTGGCATTTCATATAAATGAAATAATGCAGTGTCTTAAGGTCCCACTCATCAGGGCTTACAAGGAACAGAACCTTATTGCTCAGGGTTCTGGATGTGCGAAGTCCAAGATCAGAATGCTAGCAAGTTCAGCGCAGGCTCTTCTCCGGGAGGCAGACTGCTGGTGGCGTCCTTACAAGGTGGAAGGGGCAAGGCAGCTTTCTCTGGCTTCTTCTATAAGGGCACTAATCCCATTCATGAGGGAGTCTGCCCTCCTGACCTATCACCTCCCCAAGGCCCCACTTCCTAATACCATCACATAGAGCATTTGGTTTTCAAAACATGAGTTTTGGGGGGATGCGAGCATACAGACCATATAGGATGCAGCGTGTGGTCCTTTATCGCTGACTTCCTTCACTGAGCAAAATATTTCAGGTTTCATCCATGTTGTAGCATGCATCCTTGCTTCACTCCTTTTGGTGGCTGAGAATATTCCATTGGATAAATATTTTTCATCAGTTGATGGACGTTCGAGTGGTTTCAAGCTTTGGGCTATTGTGAGGATGCTGCCACAAACATTTGTGCCCAGGTTTCTGTATGGACATGTTTTCATTCCTCTTGAGTGAATTCCAAGGAGTGGGATTTGCTGGGTCAAATGGTAACACGGCATTTAACTTTTTGAGGAACAGCCAGACTGTTTTCTAAAGTAGGTGTACCCTTTTAGGTTTTCATCAGCAGGCTTTGAACAATCTGTTTCTCCACACCCTCACTAATGCTTGTTATCACTTTGCTTTTTGATTATAGCCATCTTATTGTGCATGCCTGATGTAAAAATAAGGGTGTTTTGAGCTACAATTCACATAATGTAAGATTCACTACTTTAAAGTATACAGTTCAGTGGATTTCAGTATTTTCAGTACGGTGTACAACCACCATCACTATCTAATTCCAGAACATTTCATCACTCCAAAAAGAAACCCCATACAATTGAGCAGTCACTCCCAATCTCCAAAAGCTCCCAGCCCCTGGCAATCACTAATTTATTTCTATCTCTGTGGATCTGCCCATTCTGAACATTTCATTTAAATGGAAAATAACACGTGTTCTTTTGTGAGCGACATCTTTCTCGGAGTGTAATGTCTTCAGAAGTCATCTGTGTTGTTGCACGTATTAGTGCTTCATTCTTTTTTATTGCTGACGACCATCCCATTGTGTGATCCTACTGCTTTTAAAACAATTGATGTCTTCTTTCTCCTTTCCCCTTCCCTGTCCTAACAAGTGGACACATGATACTTGCTAGTGTTTACATCAATTTTATCATTATGCTGATGTAAGTTAGAATTCTTTAGTGAAGGCGAAATAATGAATTTTGACTGATTTTTTTTTTAAACAGCCTGATTATTTTAACTGCTATCACATGTGATCCTCTGCTTAAGTGACTTGGCAAAGTTGGGAATATAATTTTACTTCTCAGAAAGTTTTTTTTTTTTTAAGATTTTTATTTATTTGACAGAGAGAGAGAGATCACAAGTAGGCAGAGAGGCAGGCAGAGAGAGCAGGGAAGCAGTCTCCCTGCTAAGCAGAGAGCCCGATGTAATTCGGGGCTGGATCTCAGGACCCTGAGATCATGACCTGAGCTGAAGGCAGAGGCTTAACCCACTGAGCCACCCAGGCGCCCCTACTTCTCAGAATGTTTTAAGAGAAAAAGAAATAATTTATATTGTTTAAGACTCCTGTTGTTCTTTTCATCTGCAGTTGTAGAAAAACTGAGGCTGAATTTGGAGACATTCAATTAATAGGGTGTGGAATGCCCAATTATTGAAGATAACAGCAGGTGACTCAGTTGAGTTACCTATATTTATAAGGTGATAATTAGCCACGTGTAAGAACAGAAGGAGGGAAAGAAAAGGATTTATTTCAGAATAATAGGATTTCAGTTAGCATGAATTTAATGAGATTCAGAAGGCTCAAGTTTTATACCCATATGTCAAAATAATCTAGCTAGTTTTCTTGTTGATTAATTATGGTAAAATTGTTCTATTAGCACATATTTAGTCACTCTTTGTATGACATTATGAAAAAGATACTCTGTTGAAGCTTTACAACACATGTGGTGGTGCCATTGGGGGGCGAGGGTGGGGGTGAGAACAGGTTTCTCCACTTCACCCCAGCAGGGGAAGGAGCCTGCATAGCCCTGCGGCAGTTGCCGCAGTCGGTTCTCATGACTTGCAGCAGCTTTGTTCTATAAAGTCACCATGAGTGACACCTGAGTGGCTCAGTCAGCTAAGCTTCTGCCTTCAGCTCAGGTTATGATCCCAGGGCCCTAGGACCGAGTCCCTCATCGGGCTCCTTGCTCAGTGTGGGGTCCTACTGCTCCCTCCACCTGATGCTCCCCCTGCTTGTGCTCTCTCTCTCTCTCTCTGACAAATAAATAAATAAATCTTAAAAAAAAAATCAAGCCATCACAAACATTGAATTAATGAATCCCGAACTATTGATTCCAGAGGAAATACAGAGATAGGTTCCTGTGAACCTCCGGTCACAACATCTTTGCCAACTAATCACTAAGTAACCTTGTTTTATATGCGTTATTGTATAAAGAGACCTTATTTAATAGATATTGTTGGTTCATGAACATTGAGATCTTCACCAACAACACTGTAGCTCGTACTTTAATGAAGCTTATATAACACACGTATCTCCTCCACTTGAGTGCTATGTTCAGAGGCCATTTTAAGCAACAAAATCAACAAGAAGCACAAAAATGCAGAAAACCACAGAACTAAATAGACTGCAAAAAAGGCTTGTTTACTATATGACAGCTGAGACTAGAAGGCAGAGAGCTCCACCTTATTTAACCTGAGCAGGGAATGTGTGCCTCGTGTGGCTAGATTTCTCACAGCTCTCCACAGGCAGATGTCCACCAGTGACCAAGAAGGTGATGAGAGCATTGGAGTTCTGAATACAGACCAACAAGTCAGTGAACTTGCACGTACAGAATCTGTGAACGAGGAGAATCAACGATAAATGCTTCCTGCAGAAAGCTACACAAGTCACTTCCATCCATATTTCATTGACCAAAGCAAATCATAGGCCTTGATTAACCTCAAGAGGGTGGAGAAGTTCAATCACACTGTATTTTCAAAGAAGAACTCAACTATTGGAGAGAATTACTAATGTTCATTACTGATACCGTTTAGTCATTCATTGATTAGTCCATCCTTGTGGCAGTTTTTCTTTTCCAAAGACGTGGGCCATATTATCTTCCAACCAACATGTTGTCCTTATAATGTGGCTTTGATACATCCTCCCTACCCACCCCACCGCACCCCCTCCCCCATTGAGGGATGGAGGTCTATGCTTCCTTTCCTTGAAACCGGGAAGGTTTGTGACTCCAGGATAAGTCACCCTGTGTGACTTCTGAGACTAGACCATTAAGGACTTCCACTTGATTTTCTTTGGCACAATTAATCTTAAAATCCAACAACTATGCCGAAGGGAAGCCCAAGCAGCTCCAGCTCCATGGAGAGCCTATGTCTGGGCTGACGGTACGCATCGACCCTACCTTGTGTTCAGACAGCGCCAGCCCACCACTACTGAG